ATAAATAGTGTTTGTAACATAAAATATAATTATAATTTAAATATAATTATTTCATAGAAATAATTATTTTCATACTTAGTTTAAGGCATCATATTGAAATAGCCTTCTTTAGGTCTAATGTCATGGTAGTTCTGAATTAAGGTGGGGAGGGGCCTTTAGCCCTGTGTCCCCTAAGTTTTGGGGTCCTGATTAAAAAAAAATATTTTTTTCACTCATTGTTGAAACAGCTTGAAATAATAAATATATGTTTAGTATTACATTATCTTAACAAGTCTCTCAGTTATTTCAGTTATTATCTCAACAATAATCTTAGTTATTTGAGTTGTTATCTCAGTTGTTTGACTTATTATCTCAGTAGGTCTTGTGAGTTTGATTTGCAGTTGTATTAATATATCAATTTTTTAATAATTATTAAATATTTGATTATAATTCAAAGCAGTTCTTCTAACTTGATGCTTCCTGTTGATCATAAAATACATCCTCCTTCAAATTTAGAAGAATGGTTATCAAAAAATCACATTGAAGACTGGCCTTTTATGATTGAAAAAGATTATTGTTGTCATGTTGATTCTTCTAGTAATGAAAAGATTTCTGATAAGTTCAAGACAAATTTATGTAAGATCACTTTGGTTTTTATATACTGCACAGTATTTTTTAGGCTTTTTGTTTTTGTTTAAACTGTTTTATTAAAATTAAAGTTATAAGCTCTATTATATATATATATATATATATATATATATATATATATATATATATATATATATATATATATATATATATATATATATATATATATATATATATATATATATATATATATATATATATATATATATATATATATATATATTAAAAAAATTATAAATTTTTACATAAAATTTTAAAAACAACAATTTTTGCGTTTAAAAAAATATGAGTTTTATAGTTAAAAGTTTCACGAGATCAATTTTCGTAATAATTTTTTTTTTGTTTTTTAATTTATTCAAATTAACTTTTTCGAATATTAGAAATTCTTTTTTGTAAAAAGTTAAATAGTTGAAATTCCGTTTTAAAAGTTTACGAAAGTTTTTGTTTTCAGTTAATACGATCAATTTTAATTAAATAATTTTCCGGGATTTTCTTAAATAAAAATTTCCGGGATTTTCATAAAGTCAAATACTCATCTATGATATATATATATATATATATATATATATATATATATATATATATATATATATATATAATATTATATATATAATATAATATTATATATATATATATATATATATATATATATATATATATATATATATATATATATATATATATATATATATATATATATATATATATATATATATATATATATATATATATATATGTATATACATATATATATATATATATATATACTTTTAATATAATGTTATATATATATATATATATATATATATATATATATATATATATATATATATATATTATATTATATTAAAAGTATTTCAAAGCAAAACTTTGGACAGTTTAAGTTTCCAAGTTGAATCACTCGATAAAACAATTCAAGAATATTCATCATTCTTTTTTGAAACTTCAGATGTGGCTTTTCATAAAGAACAAAGTAGGTTAATATATTGTGCCTTTTTATTTTTTTAATTAAACAATATGGTCTAATACTTTTAAACAACTTTTTGTGAGTCACATTGTTGGCAGTGAGCTTCACAAGAAAGATGTTGTGAGCAGCAATCATAAAAACTTAACTAATTACTTTAATTAATCATTAATTAACATAACTAAATAAGTTAAGCTAATATTTAAATATTAAAAAAATATTTTTATAAAACAATAATCATAATCTTTAAGTAAAAAATTTTTAAATCTAAAATATTATTTAACGTTAAACAAGTGTAATGTGATAAAAATGTAAGATAAATAAAAGATAACCTATAATTATTTTAGTACATATTAACTTTGAAATGGAACGAAACAGAGATGAAAGAATTCGAAAATCTAAAAAGGTTAGAAGTACATAACATGTTAAAATCAGAATGAATAAAAAAAATGAATTAAAAGCTTATATTATACTTCTTTATTATTTTAGAGGAAAGAAAAAAGTTTGAAAGGCAATGACTCAGATGTAACTTAATTACTAAATCAACGAGCAAAAATTTATTTCATGTTCATTTCAATTTATTAAATTTCAGAAATGAATTTCATGTTCATTTAAAAATATATATATATTTTTGCAAAAATGATGCAATTTTTGAAATAACCTGTTATTTATTGTTATTAATGAATTTAGCAAATTGTTTTTTTTTTATCTGATTATTTAATTTAGCTTAAATAGTACAATGTATAATATGTATGGAAAGACTTTTTACCTCCATACTGTGCTAAATGAATGTTACAACTTTTGCAGAATGTTTTCCCTGGTTTCTCACACAATGATTTTACAGCTTTACCTGCAGGCTTTGAAATACATCAAATATTTAATTTCGTTTTAAAGAATGAAAAATTCAAAGTAATATACTTTATTCATGCAATCTTTGTAGTAATTAAGCATTTCATACAATAAGCTTACATAATCAAGGTATATGATGTTTATTGTATGAAATACTAAATTATTTTGTTATATGTTATATATATTTATAAACTTTTTTATTTATTATATATTTATGTTTATACTATTGTGATATTTGTTTATAGTTTCGCATGTGATATTTTATTTGAAATGATTAAAAAAATGATGTTTGTAGTTTCAAATGCGATATTAGTTTGTGGCTTTGGATGTCATAAAACTGCAGCTTTATTATGGTCATAGCAATAACATTTGTGGTTTATAGGTGTATATATGCATAAATACAGTTATATATGTATATATATATATATATATATATATATATATATATATATATATATATATATATATATATATATATATATATATATATATATATATATATATATATATATATATATGTATATATATATTGTATATATATATATATCATCAAGATATATTACAACTATGTTTAATTAAGTTTATCCAACACTGAGGTTGTCTCCAGCCTCTGCTTCCGCTTTAAATAATAACAAACCTTTTACTCAAATACCATTCCTATATTGGGAAAATTAAATTAATTAAATTAAAAAAGAATTATAAAAACTTATGTTCTTCAAGCACTCTTATGTACTTTAGATTAAAAAAAAAGGCAATTTGCAGTTAAAACTTATATAAATTAGAGTTATATTTGTTAAATTAATTACTAAACCTATATGGCAGTACTCCCCACCGCTATAAAAGGTCATCAAAGTACTCCCCACCACTAACAAAGCTTATGCAAGACTCAAGTAGTAAAGTATTGTGGTAAAGTAATTTTTCTTTAAACTGATTCACCTTTAAGAATACATAATTCTTTTGATAAAATGGAAGATAAATAAACTAAACTTTAAAATTGAGTTGATTCAAAATATGGAAACACTAATATTTTTTTTTAACAATTTTTTTCAGCCAATTGTTATCGCAATAATTTGGGCCTTCCTATATTTATGAACGGTAATGTGCTTGATGAGTCTCCTACCCTTCATCTTCTAGGATTAACTCTTACTTCTGATCTTTCTTAGAAACATTATATCAAATCGGTTGCAAAATTAGCATCTGCTAAAGTTGCTTCTCTTTATCGAGCTCGTCACTTTCTTACTCTGGATTCTATTCTCTATCTCTATAAATCTCAAATCCGGCCTTGTATGGAATACTGTTGCCATATCTGGGGTGGATTTTCTAATGATGCCCTTTCTCTTTTAGACAAGGTGCAAAAACGCATTGTAAACATAGTTGGACCTGCTCTTGCAGCCAACCTTCAACCTCTGTCACATCGTAATGTTGCTTCTCTTTCTCTTTTCTACAAATACTATAATGGGCACTGCTCTAAAGAGCTAGTGTCTCTTGTGCCATCTACTAAAATTGATTCTTGTGTTACTCGTCATTCAATTAAGTCCTTTTTCTGTTACTGTTCCTAAGTGCTCCAAAAACTCTTATTCGTCTAGTTTTTTTCCTCGAACATCAGTTCTTTGGAATTTGCTTCCTTCATCTTGCTTTCCTGATTCATATAATTTGCAATCTTTTAAGTTGTCTGTCAATCGTTATCTTGCTCTACAATGTTCATCTTTTCTTTTCCAGTAACTTCCAACACTAATTAGTGGTTGCTTGCAGCCTTGTTGGAAGCGAAGATAATTAAAAAAAAAAAATAAAAAAAAAATATAAGAACAAAAATGCATCATATACAAAATGAAAATGCTGGTTCATTTTTAGATTTAGTTAATTACATAAATACAAGGAATTAAGCAATGAATTCACCTATATGTCAAGAAATCAGGTTTGAACTTATTAACTCGTAAATTTGATTTTTTTTTTTTTTTTTTTTTATGTAATTCTTTATTATTATTTGTTTATTATTTTGTAATAATATATTCTGAAAAACACTTTTGTATGACTATGACAAGATTGAAATCTGGACTACAAGCTGTAGAAAATTTAAATTGAGATATATCTTTAGCAACATGAGCTGGAGTGATTTGAATGTCTAACAATGGGTTAACCTGTTTAGTTGGAATGGAAAGAAAAGAATGACCATAACAGGCCAACACTCTTCTTTATTTCCAGTAACTTCTGGGGTTCCCCAAGGTTCCATCCTGGGCCCTGTTTTGTTTCTTATCTACATAAACAATCTTCTTGACAACCTTTCATCTAAAGTAGCTCTTTTGCTGATGACTCAACTTTATACTCCTGTCTTGACAAAAAGTCTTCTCTTTTCGATTGCCTAGAACAAGCAGCTGATCTTGAATCCGATCTCACTTCAGTAATAGATTGGGGTTCACAGTGGCTTGTGAATTTCAACTCTAACAAAACCAAGTTGTTTACTGCAAACAACTACCGTCATATGGTCAACATTCCTATATTAATGAATGGCAATCCTCTTACTGAGTCCTCCTCTTTACGTCTTCTTGGATTATCGCTTACTACTGACCTTTCATGGAAACCATATATACAATCAATTGCTAAATTAGCTTCTGCTAAGGTTGCTTCTCTTTATCGTGCTTGCCATTTCCTTACTTCTGATTCCATTCTCTACCTCTACAAATCTCTTATTCGTTCCTGTATGGAATACTGTTGTCATTTTTGGGCTGGTTCTTCTAACGATTCACTTTCTCTTCTTGACAAGGTCCAAAAACGCATTGTAAATGTTGTTGGACCTGGACTTAGCTGAATGACGTTTTACTCGTCATTCAGCTAAGTCTCATTCGTTTACTGTATCTGTCCCTGCATGCTCTAAAAACTTTTATTCATCTAGTTTTTTTTCCCGCACTTCAATCCTTTGGAACTCTCTCCCATCTTCATGTTTTCCTGACTCATACAACCTTCAACTTTTCAAGTCTTCTGTCAACCGTTTCCTTGCTCTATAACTCTGTTATTTTTTTTCCTAGCAACTCCCAACTTAATAGTGGCTGCTTGCAGCCTTGTTGGGAGTGAATGCAAATAAAAAAACAAAAAAAACATTGAAGAGTTAAATTATAAGAAAAGCTCTTTGGAAATAGTTATTCTTGAGAGAGGTAATAAGATCAGTCCCATGAATGAGAGATGGAATGTTAGACCTATCCTTGTTAATGACGCTGTTGAAGTTTTTCTTAAGTCTTTAGAGCCTTTTTACTTTGACAAACCTTTGACATGAGATACGAGATTTAGTGAACTGAGAATAATAGAGCTTAGCATTTGTAGTTTTTTAGTCCTTAGTCCTTACCAAGGACTATCACAAAGTATATCACAAAAAGAATCCCAGTCAGCTAGGGTAGTAGTAAGTAATGCTAATGAAAGGGCGAAAGTACAGGGTGTTAGCCAGCCTGATGGTACCGTGTATATTGTGGTATTCCCAATTGATTTAAAATTTTTAAAGGTTTATAAGATCAAAGTAAAAAAAATTAAATCAGTCTCAGATTTAAAGTGTTGCGCTAGACAAGTAAAAAATGCAATTAGTACTCAAGACGAGGAAAAGAATTATGTCGATCGATTTTTTTAATGTGTAAAAACATTTTGTCATTAACAAGCGTCATTAACATTAACAAGCTCATTCATTTGAAAGTTGGAAAAAACTTTTTTTTTTAAATTTTTTATTGATGTCAGTTATTCTCTAGTTAAGATATTTCAATATGTTTAATAAATTATTTTATTAATTTATTTTTATTATTCAAAAACTATTTATTTACATTTTTTCTGTTTATCTTACTTAAGTTACAAAGAAATCTGCATACTATTAAATATTATACTTTAAAATAAGTTAATAAATTTTTTATTATAAAAGATTTATTAATACTTTCGGTAAAGTAAACTAGCTGATAAAGTAAACTGAAAATAACAACATCAAAAAAATCAAAAATAAAACTTGAAATGAAACATATTATCTGTTATGTTTGCGTAAAGCATAAAAGAAGATAATTAAATAATATTAAAGTATTACTAATTATTAACCAACGTTTATAAATACAAAAATTAATTTTTTTTTTAATTTACGAATATAAAATTTACATGTATATACAAAATTTAGTTATGTAAGTCATTTTTAGTTTTTAGCGGGGTAAGGCGTTCACTTTTTGCAAGGGTTTTTAAACCTTGACTATACAATATAGTCGAGGTTTAAATAAAACGTAGTCAAGGTTTAAAAAACGCACGCCTCGCAGCCTTGAGGCAGTACTTCAAACTGATTTTTTCCTGGCTTTAACCCTTATCTACACCAGCGTAATAGAAGAAGAGGTTTAAAGCTGGTTAGGGATTGCCAAAGGTTTGGTTTTTATGGAACAGAATACAAACCTGTAAAAATATTTTTTTTTATAAAAATATAGTTTTCCTTCGTAAAAGCCGGAATTATGACAATTCTACATATAATGTATAGTGTTTTTATCAACAGTCGTCAATTAAAAAGTTGTTTTAGCAATTTGAAAAGTAACAAGAGGATTGACGAAATCATCAAAAATGTTTTCTTAAAAATTAAATAGTATTAAGCATTTTTTTTTACTTTTTACATTTGTAATTTAAAAATAAAAATAAAAATATAAAAAGACAATATATGTAATGTATGCAATTAAAATAGATCAAAGTTTCAATGAATAAATTTAATAATTCATTCATTAAAGCTGCAAACAATTGTCTTTTGTTCTTGTTTTCTTTCTACTATATCAAACAAAGTAGAGAAGCAATTTAAAAATGAAAACTTAAAAAGATTGCAAGTTGAGTGTTATTTTTTTTTTTTTGGTTGCACGTAAATTCCCAATATTGCAAAAATGCTGTATGAATTTTTTCCTGGCTTTAACCCTTATCTACACCAGCGTAATAGAAGAAGGGGTTTAAAGCTGGTTAGGATAATTATTTTGCTTACTCCTTAAGTTTTTGTCTAGGAGGCCTTCTACAAGACAGTAGCTTGATGCAGTTAACACCTGCCCAAGATTTTTATCAAGACACCATCTCTACGC